AATAATATTTACTTCAAGTCTTAATCAATTAGATTGTCCATTATTAGATAATGTATCATTAGCTGTACAAGGTGTCCTCGGATGTTGGACCAAACTTCCGAATGTTCATCTAATAAAAAATGGATTTAAAATAGTAGAAAAAGATCCAATCGGTGTTATTAATGTCACACCAAGTTATAATGAACAATATTTATACGTGACAGGCTGTTTTGCTTTTTGTGGCCAACGTGGAGTTGTTCAATCACCTTATCTTAATCAATTAATTGAATTATTTTATTCAACAATACGTTCTTATTTACCTGATGAAATCGGTGCAAGTGAATCAGAAACTCTTCCAATAAGGTTTTGTATTCGTCCAATGACTCCCGATGGAATGCCAGTCATTGCTCAATTAATTAATGAAAATAAAGAACAGCAGGTTTATTTTGTTGGTGGAACAAATGCCGGAGGATTCGTTGAATCTCCAGTTTTAGCAGCAGTTGTACTAGATTTATTTCAAGGTTCAACAAATGATACAAGCCTTTGTCATGTTTATAGATCTTTACGTCTTGATAGATATACTCTTTTATTTAATTTAAATTCATCGGATTAATTTTATGATATTGAAACTGAACTTTGTTATGATTTACTATTGTGTACTAAATCAAATGAAAACATATATAACAATTCATTTCTAAATAAATCTTTGTTTTTCCGAAATTGACTTTTTTGTTTTCCTTATATGTGAATGCACTTTAGTTTTGATAATAGAAAATAATCATTACCAATCTTTGAAGAAAATCAAACGAAAATTCTCGAAATCAATATAATAACGAAAAACTCATTTAATAACTGAAGATAAAAACTTCCATATCTATCCTTATTTCATCCAGATAACTACGATTATATAGAAAACAAGTTAATAACAATATTTAACAGCTATAATATTTAGTATCACACATGATTGGTTCTTGGAAGTTTACGGGCAAAACTAGAAAAGTTTTTATCCGAAATTGCATGCTTTTAAATCAAGTATAGGCTTTTACTTGTTTATTCTATGAATTCTCTGCATATAGAACAGACTTTAATTAATATAATCACATATAGAAAATACATTAAACAGGAAGAAAGATCTACAGAGACTTCTTGAATTAATCAGTATCAGAATAGAGACATCCACGTTTTTTAAAATTGAGTTAGTCGTATCTTTTTCGACTATTTATGTTGCTATGAATCTGTTTTACGAACTAAAGATCATTCTAGAAAATCTAAAAACGCACTCAATTTTATCTTTTATGCTTTCGAGAAAGAATAGTTGTCTTTTATGTTATTAAAATGTTTAGTGGTACCTTTAACAGCGAAGACACTTATACGAGTGTCTATTAATCAAAGATATACTTGGGAGAAAAGCATAATGCCATATTATTTAAACTAAATACTAGAGATATATAAGGAGAACTATGATTCTATCATCATTACTTTTTCTCTAAGCGAAAAAGAACAATGCTGCACTTTCTTGCTTGTTGGAAAACGATTTAATGTACTTATATGTATCCATTCCTGAAAAAAGTTAGTAGAATCTGCCGCATGTTTATTTTTTAACTTTTACCGATCAAATATAATAAGACTTTGCACCTTTTCGAATAGTACTTCATCTGTGATAGTTCTCCTCGGTTGGTTCAGATTGGATCAGCCTTATGTATAGAGTCATTGGGTATCAAGTAAAATCAATAAGGGTATTTAAAATATTGTCAAAGAAAAAATATATTACTTAATTGCTTAGAGTTGTCCAAAAAGTCTAATCATAGTATTTAAAATTTTATCAAGTAGTTAATATCGAAAGTTTTATTGCATGAATACATAGTAGAATACCTCGACTATAATAATGTATACAGGACTGTCCCGACCCTTCCAACTTTGGGGGGGAGGGGTAAAAAATTTGTTTCACAATATACTGGGTGTTTCAAAAGCAAAAATTCTTAATGTAAGTGCAGTTTATTTTTCTTCACATAAAATATCGTTCAATTGAAATTATTACATAAAACAAGCAGATAAACAAAAGAAATAGGTATAGAAACAATTTCGAAACAAAAACAAAAGGAAAACAGCATTTAAACGTTCATTTAAAGCATACATTACCACTAATTAGTACTAAGTTTTACTCGTCGGTCTTTCATTAGAAACTAAAAGTACAAAACAAATAGTGAGTTAATAATAATGATCGAATATGCAAAAAACAGAATAAAAGTAAGTATTCTAACTTTTCATTTTGAAAGTGTTGTCCTCAAATAGTTCTTGATCAGTTTCATTTTGCTAAAACTTCCTTCACTGGTTGAAGTTGTTATTGGTAGTGTCAATATGTAATTATGTACGCTTGATAATCTTGGATATAAATGTTCTGATTGCTGTAATCATTGTACAATATGATTCATATCATCAAAATCTTTGATTTTATCAGTCAATAGTTGAAAGTCATTGAACAATAATTCTGGACTTGTTAGTTTCGGAATCAATTCACACATATGTTGACATTCATTTAATGTCAGTTGATCTATTCTTCCAGGTGTTATATTGATAAACCATTTTAATTTTTAGTTCAGCATATTCAGAAAATCAGCATATGTTATATATAAGTAGTTGAGCACTTCATAAAATAACTTCAAATAGACAGATTCTCTGAAAAACAAAAAAACATTCTGCTAAATTCACCTCGCTTCTATGGACAGAATTTTTTCTGTTAAAAATTACCTCGTAAAATGAATAGCTAATTCTGATTTTTCCATCGATGCGCCGTAATGATCGACGAAATCGATCAAATTCTTTATCAGCATCGACATTATATAGTTCAACGTATTTTTGACCTAACTAAAATATAGAATAAACAAACACGTATATAGAAAGATAAGTAACATGTATGACTTCACTAACTACTAAAATATTTTTCAATGATTGATCATCATTCCTCATTGTTTGAATTAATTTTAAAGTATTATTCGTTAACTCCAGTGATGATAAAATATCTAATTATTTTGATTGTAAATGAATTGTTAATGAGTTGATTGTTCGTGTAATGTTTTCCATAAATTTTAATAACACAACTATTTCATATGAAACTAATTTGTTTCTCAAGTTTTTTCCTTGTAGTTTAGTTCCATGATCAAATTGTTTTTCTTCTTCAATCAATCCATAATAACAGACAATTTCATTATATGACTCAATAATACAATAAATAGATTCATAATTTGCAGTCCATCTTGTATCAGATAATGATTTTAGACTTAAATCATATGATGATTTTTCAAGTTCTTCACGAAGAAAATAGTATCTTTTCAAGTTTGTTGTAAAATAAGTGTATAACTCTTGTAGTAGCATGTACAAGTTGGTAAATTCAATCGAACAATTACAGACATGTTTTAAAGCCAAATTAGAAGTATGTGCACTGCAAGAAATGTGTATGATTTTTCGATTAAAATGTTTATTAATGCATGCATGCACACCTTTGTTAATACCTCCCATGTTCGGAGCATTGTCATAACATTGATCGGCAAGTTTTTCTGATGGTATTCCTTTTTCTGTAATGTTTTTTACCAATAACAAACATATTTCTTCACCAACTTTACTTGGTAATTCTTGTATAGATAATAAACGTTCTTCAATTTAATAGTTCTTTGTATACCTGCACTGAAAAAAAAAATGATACGATACCGAACCAAAAAAGGTACTTTGAACGAAAAAAAGGTTTCATACATAGTACGGTACCTAAAAAGGTTTCGAATTCGTTGCAATTCTCTGAACCATTTTAGGTTCGGTACAGACCACTTCGAAAAACTTGAAAAAGTGTCCTGAGTCAATGACAATCAATTTTAGTCACCCAAATTTTTGTACGAAACCTGTTGAGGGTTTCGTATTGTCGTCCTAAATGGTTCCATAATCATACAAATTTTTTTGCAGCGTAATGAACCATTTAGGAAGACAATACGAAACCCTCAAGAGGTTTCGTACAAAACTTTGGGTGACTAAAATTGATTGTCATTGACTCAGGACACTTTTTCTAGTTTTTCGAAGTGGTCTGTACCGAACCTAAAATGGTTCAGAGAATTGCAACGAATTCGAAACCTTTTTAGGTTCCGTACTATGTACGAAACCTTTTTTTCGTTCAAAATACCTTTTTTGGTTCGGTATCGTACCATTTTTTTTCAGTGTGAAAGCGATTGAATACATCTCACGGTGTGTGATGTATCTGAAGTGCTCTCAGTCATACTTGATATAAATTGTGATTCTTTAATGTCGTCAATAACTAAACGTTTAACTGCTTCGCCTAACAATTGAATGTATTCATCTTGTGATCAGTTGCTCATATATGAAACCTAGATGCACAAATGTCTTTAACCATGAAGAAAAAAACATATCATACTTGATATTTTTCTAATTTTGATTTGAAAAACCATTCGTTCAATACTTGATTATTTCGACGTTATACAGAAACTAGCTGAACAAAGTTGCCTATTAATAAAAAAATTTAATTAAAATACACTTATAAGTGCTTATAAAACGTGTATCTACAAACCTTCATTCGATAGGTCTCGTCGAAATGCTAATCCTTGTCGTACAAGATAACGAGCAGAATCAAGTAAAATAATGATTACTTGTTTATTCAATTGTAAAATCATCTCTTGTTCTTGCTTCTATTTACGTCGATTACCTTCAAGCATTAAATCAATATTCAACTTTTTGGCTTTGAAGTTCAAGTATCGATCAACTGATGCTTTATGTGTCGTGGATAAGAAGTGTTGTTCGAGTTTGCCTAAATCCAAAGTAAATCAGAAATAATTCATTAGAGATTTAGTCTAGAACTTCCATGTTAAAACAATTCTTATCTACCTTTCTTTTTTACCCCCTAACTCTTCATTTTATGCCACATTGAGACACCGTTCGAAATCCAAGCATCTGTATGCTTTGCATCACCTGACCCTGAAGATATAAAATGTCGTAATGATAAATCAAAAACGATTTAGTTCATTTTAACCTTCAGCAAACAATCGACATGTAAAGCAGAAAGCAGCATCTTTCTTTACGCTATATTCAAGATACGGGTGTTCATCATACCGTGTTGCAGCAAATAGACATGTCTTTCCAGCTGCACACAATTCTTTGTTTTTCGGATATTGTTGTGAATCTACTTGTAATGGATATAGTGAGACCAAATAACGTAATTGCTCTTCATTAAATTTATGGTTAACATCGTAATAACCTAAACCATATAAAAAATAAAAGTAATTTTGTAGGATAGTCGAACATCACGCGTTTACCTGAATTACGTTCAATCAATTTATCTTTTTCTGAATCAATTATTGCTAATTTATTTCGATTAATTTCTCTCTCTAAAATCATATCAATAAATAACTTTTTTAAATCATTTCCAGTTTGAAGGATTTTATCAGCAAAAATATTTGACTCTTCTATGAATGTTTCTAGACAGATACCAATAGATATGGATGAGGTGATGAGATGTTGACATGAATGAAGCAAGGCTTCAATCCTACGAAGTTTAACTTCTGTTTAATGTAAAATATTATTATTATTATTTGAGTAATTCACTGCTGTTATTCTTGTTGATTTTTCTGCATCAACAATATTATCTAATATATTCTGTAGTACATTTGATGAATCAGGTGTAACAGGTACTGTAAAGCTCGTAATTGTTGTTTCTTTAACTTTTTTTTCTAGAAATATTTCAATTTTCTGTCACCGTCTCTATTACTGTTATCACGTTTCATGGTTGGGGATTGTGGATGCATTTACAATCACATGGAGATAACTGTTCAATAAACTACTATCTAAAAAATTGAATAATAGTAATTGAACCAGCAGTCTTTGTTCAGTTCTCTTCTCTTCTCTTCTTGCTATGTATAATGGAGCTAGTCTAGTTCTGAAAAGTAAAACTTTTAGGAGCATAAAAGAAAAAAAATTTGTAGTGCTCTTCATCTTGTGCTATGTTGAATATAATAGTAGTAGCACAGCAGTCGAACTATCTTTGTTATCAAGTTTCGTCACTCATTTCAATGTTCTTTTCTTTTTCTTCTCGCTTTTTTCTTTTCATTCCTTCTTTTTTCTTTTAAACAAATATATAGAACAGGTGGAAATGCAGTAGCTTGAATTGAGCGTCATATTCAACACGGAACATTTATTATTTATTCGAATAAAGTCAACCGTTAAAACACTAGAGATAATTTACACAAGAAAAAGAACAATAGAAAAGTTATTGTCGAATAAAACTGATGTATTATTGTTAACTAATTTTTGTCTTTTGTTAATTGAGCCTTGATCTTATGCTAACTTGGTAATCTTTTAATTAATCCAAATGAGAAAATATCAATTATTGGGGAGTGTCACACCCCGGCCACCCCCTCCCTTCCCCTGGTCGGGGCAGCCCTGCTCATCTGTGATAGTTTGCTTCAGTCTGGTTGGGTCAGCCTTGATTATTATATCATTGGAAATCAAGAATAAACCAATTGGTACATTTAGAATATTTTCAAAGAAGAAATAAAGCATTTAATTAAGTATACTTATTAAAAAAGCAAACCTTAAGAAACAGTTTAAAACAATGAAAAGATTTAATTGATTGAATGAGTCTCGTATTAAGTACGTTCTTTTTATTTGTTTTCTTTTCGAAGGTTTCGCTTATCAGGAAAAAACGCGCTTGTTACTTTGTCACTTAAAAAAACGAATATTCAAAAATTAGTCGTTCAAATCATGAAATAGTTGCCATAGAAAATTCTATTGGACTGTATTGAACCTCTGTTCATAATATTTGAAACTAAATCATGATAAATGAGCACGATGGATATGATTAACGAGTTTTTCAATGAACTACTAAAAGTAATATTGGATTTTAGAAGGTTCTAGATTATTCAATCATGAGTTGATGCACTTCTACGAAACCTAATTAAGTTAAGATATGAATTGTCTCTTATTAAATATCTTTTATCAGCCATTCTACTAGTAATATATGTTAATATGACTCATAAGTTACATATTATCGTAAAAACATCGTATTCATTTGAGATATTTAACGACATGCTAGGTTAATTTATTTACAAAAAAAAAATTATTTTCACTGAAGTAAAGAAATGAGTCACAATTAATTACAGATTTTAATTAAAAACAATGGAATTATAATGATATAATTTGTGAATTAATATATAGTTGATAAGTGAGAGCACCTGATAATGGTAAGAAAAATGAACTTGCTAAAACGAGTTTGAAAAATTTTCTATTACTTATGCTATTGCTCGAAGGTTGATTTTATTGTTCTTAGTTTTGGTAATAGAGCTTAATGATTTCATTCATTTCAAGTGTTTTGTTTTATTTTCGATTTTTTTTTCTTAAAGAGTGAATCAAAAGATTTGGCTGTTTCTGTCACAAATGCATGGAAAAATTATGGTCACTGGTACAAATCAATAACCGTCTTACATGACATAAACCTTCATGTTCCAACAGGAATTATGTATGTTATTTTATTTGTAAAAAAAAAAGAAACTTAAATGACGAATATTGAAATGTAGATATGGTTTATTGGGTCCATCTGGATGTGGAAAAACAACTCTTTTACGTTGTATAGTTGGTCGTCTAGAATTAAATCGGGGCGAAATAATTGTATTGGGTAAACGACCAGGTAGTCGTGGACACGGAGTTCCTGGTCGATCAGTTGGTTTTATGCCACAAGAAACAGCACTTTATAAAAACTTTTCAATATCAGAAATGCTTCATCATTTTGGTCGTCTTCATAATATGAGTCGTAAAGATATTTTATCTCGAGAAGAATTTCTTGTTTCATTTCTTGATTTACCTTCAAAATCAAAAAACGTTTCACAATTAAGGTTAAATTTATTTTAAATAACAAAAAAAGACTTGCTGTTTTTTTTTCATAAAGTGGTGGTCAACAGCGTCGTGTATCATTAGCATGTGCTCTTCTTGAACAACCTCAGTTATTAATTCTTGATGAACCAACTGTTGGAGTTGATCCTTTACTTCGAGAAAAGTTACTGTTTAGTTATTTTGTTAATTAGAGAATTTTATTTTATTGTTATTTTTAGAATCTGGAGTCATCTCATAAATATATCAAAAACAAGTAAAACAACAATAATAATAACAACTCATTATATTGAAGAAGCAAGAAAAGCTGATCGAGTATGAATCTTTTTTGTCTTACTTGTAATAAAAAATTGTATTCAGGTTGGACTTATGCGTAGCGGAAGAATGTTAGCTGAAGATGAACCATCTCTCCTTTTGAATAAATATAATCAAACAGTTTGTTTTTATTTTTATTAAAATAATTCTACTAAATAAAAAAAAAACAATTTTAGAGTTTAGAAAATGTTTTTCTTCAATTATGTTTTCAAGACCAAAATCGTTTTCAACAAGAAATTTCAATGAATAATACAGATGGCGATAAAGATACTGATATACCCGATAATATTGATGATCAAAATTCATCTGCTACTTCTATTCAAGTGTCAGTCAACAGAACGAATGGAAATGTTCTTCCATTAGATAATCGAAGTCGAAAATTCGAAAAAAATCGTAAGTTTAGGTCGAAAGAAAAATAAAGAGAAATAAAAAAATGAAATACTTTTATTAAGCTCTGATATATGCTAAACGAGTTGCAGCTGACTATTTTATATTACCTCATATGCATAAAATTTATGCATTAATGTTGAAAGATTTAACAGTAATTAAACGAAGTATTGGGTAATTTTTTTTAGTATTCTATTTATTGTTTAATATGAGTTTGTTTTTAGTTTTTTGTTGTTTCAATTTTTAATTCCTGTTATTCAAGTTGCACTTTTTTGTCTTTGTATTGGACGTATGTTGATTTGATATTCTATTGATTTAAACTATTTTAAAAATGATATTTAGGTGAACCTGAACATATTCCAATGGCACTTTACAATAGTGAAGCAATCCATGGATTTCCAACAGGAAACTTAAGCTTACAACTTTTAAATAAAATAAATCCTGAACAAATTCATTTTGTAGGTTAAAATATTTCTTTTCTTTTTTGTAGTTAAAATTTATTTTATTTTAAAATTGAAGACGTCATTTAATGAGTTTGATAAAGCAATGGACGTTGTAAAACAAGGACAGTATTGGGGTGCTGCTATTATACAATATAATTTTACACAAGCAATCAAAAATAAGTTCGTATTTTCTATTTAGATTTTGTTTCTTCATTCGATTTTTATATTTTAAAGATTATTAGGGTTTCAAACAGATCCAGCTACTTTAAATGCATCATCACTCCATCTTTATCTTGATATGACGAGTAAGTATACGATATAATATTTATTTCTTCGCTAAAAATACAATTAAAAAATTGATCTATCCGTTTTCTATATTGATATGCTCATAATAATTCAATATTAAAGACTTATATGAGAGTTCGTTTCATTTTATGAAAATAAGAAGACAAGATCGTGTGTTAATCGAGGAAGCAAACTTGAAAAATTATTGTTTTCACATAAAAAGTTTATTTTATATGATCCAGTCAAAAATATTTTGTGTAATATATCGAGAGTAGTTTTATCGATCACATGAAACTAATGGCCAACATTTATTCAAAGATCTTCTATAATTTTCCGAAAGCTCAATATCGTCCATCTGCCAGCTAAAATTGACACAAAATAGTGAGAACCGTGAAAAAATTTTTGGGAATCGATCCAATTGCATTTGTTCCTGCGAAAAAATTTAAACTCAAACAATAAAATTCAAATCTGTCATCTCACCGAAAAAAAATGGCACGATACTGAACCATTTGAAGATTTCGTGATTTCTACGAAATCTAAAATAGTTCTTGAGAACATTACGAAACCTAGAAAGGTTCAGATTTTGTTTCAAAAAACTGAACTGTCTTAGGTTTCGTAGGCAAAATTAGGAAAGCTTTGAAAATATTTTTCCAACCATTCACAATCATTTTGAGGCATCTTAGGTTTTTACGGAACCTTTTTTTAAAGTTTCGATTTTCGAGAAAGAATGGTTTGATATGACACCTTATTGTTTTTCAATGCATGAGCTTATTAGTAGGATTTTAAATCTAGTGGGAAATCATACTGCGGCGCCAGTTTTTTTGGAAAATGAAAAAAAGGAATCTGTACGAAACCCTAAAGAGTTTCAATTTTGTTCTAAAACTCGGAAATTTGTAGGGGTTCCGTGTGGCACCTTTTTTTCAATGTTGCACATTGGTTATTTAACATTTTATCGTTTGAATCAATCTTCTTTTTAGTTCTGTGGCGGATACCGATATACATAATATCGAGTGTCTATGAGTCTATTACTGAGTCAAAGGTTTACTGTCGATAGTCAAAATCTAAGAGTTAACGATCGAGAGTTAAAAGTTAAATGAAGAAACGTAGCCATACACTATGCACGAGAACTCGTTAGTTGAGAACATATTCTCATCATTTTCAAATATGTTTATTTTAGTTTTCCAAGCCATGAGCATGTTTTAAATAAAAGACCCATATTATAGAAATCATCAATTTTTTTCATTACAAGGAAATTATCAGATCTATTCTTCAAAAAGACAAAAGAAAAGATTTTAATAAAATATTGCGCTATCATATTGACGAGTTTCTACTACTTGACAACAGTCTCAATGGAATTTGCATATGAGATATGGCAGTTGTTATTTAATGAAAGTGAAACTTGATCAAGTCTATTGCGCTAAAGAAAAAGTGTATAAAGTGGATTCTCAAGTGATGAAATTGCTTCTCTCGTGAAATTCGGTTCTTGTTCTGTTGATAGACAACTCAGTTAGCAAGAGTCGGTTGTAGCTCGGATCACACAGTTAGACTTCGTTTTGACTGTTCTTGGTTGACTTAAAATGCGATATTATCCTGTTTCTTTAGTATCATACTGTACGGAGTTCATATCCAAAATATTAACTTCAATTACATATCAAAGGATACATAAGAATATGACGAAATATTGCTCTTTTCCTTTTTTCTTTAGAGAACCCTGCTCACTTGTATACATACAGAAACAAAGCACTTTCATTTGATATGTAATTGAAATTAAAACTTTTGGATGTGAACATTGCATAGTATGACACTAGAGAAGAAAGATAATATTGAATTTAAGACAGTCGAGCGCAGTCAGAATGAAGTTCAACTATGTGATTCTAACTACAATCGACTCTTGCTAACAGAGTTGCCTATTAGGAGAACAAGAGACGGAATTTTATGAGAGGGTCAACTACATTGCTGAACCGCTCGATTCTTTTACATGAGAAATTTTGAAATGCTTTTACGTGACTTGGAGTCTATGATATCTTCCAATCAGCATTTATTCCTTCGTGAATGACTGAATAGAGCTGGTCACGTCCAAAAATTTGCTATTGAATAGTTCTAGATCTAGGGCAACATGTAATACACATAATCATTTTAGTCGTGGTTCATAATTCTTATTTATTTTATTGAAAAAGAAAGTTTCAGTTGATTCAAAAAAAAAAATATAACAAAACAAAATTATTCCTTATAATATAATTTGCATCAGACTTTCATTAGAAGTTCGATAATAGAGTATCTTATATTCATGTCGCATTCGAATCTGATAAACTGTATTGAATGTGGAAGTCTAAGGCAAAAAATATTTGTACCCAATACTTTTCACTCAGGACTCATCCATGCTGCAGACATCCTTTTCACAAAACACATTCGAAGAGAATCCTGTTTGCTCATCAATACAGAAATACTTTTTTTCATTAAATAGCTAACATACCTTCAACATACGTCATTTGTTCGTTGATAATGCGTAACAGAATTCTGACATATTGCTCTCTGCAAGATGCGGTCCCAAACTAATTTAACTTGAAAATTTCGTAAAAAATGCTTAAAAAGCAACAAAACATACCGTAATAAGCGTTCAAACGTTCAAATAAGTTCAACATATCTTTCCCTTCACGCATATGTCTGGTATTTGCTGCCATCCTTTCCGAATTCTCCTTCATCTCCTCGATTATGTTTCTCCATTTTCTGGACGTTGTTTATGGATGACCACGCTTATGAAATCTTTTAAATGTTGAGTCTTTTAATAGAAGACAAAATAAACTATTTTTCTTTCATATTAAGATCAACAAGTGTCATTAACAATGCAAAGTATAATATTAAATAGTACAGAAGTATTTTTAAAAGAAGTTTTATCAAGTTATAAAATTGATCCATCAATAGCTGATCCTCCAGTAATAATTGAAAATCCTCTATATGGCAATATTGTCCCACAATTTTTAAATTTTGCTGCACCAGGAATGATGATATCAATAATATTCTTTTTGGCAATTGGTTTAACAGCATTAATATTTGTTGTTGAAAAAAAAGAAGGTCTTTTAGAACGCAGTTGGATCGCTGGTGTTACCACAATTGAAGTTATGCTTGCTCATATTATTGTTAAATTTTTTATTCAATTTATTCAAATAATGCTTCTACTTGTTTTTGCTGATTTTATTTTCAAAGTTTGTTGCCATTTTTATATTTTTAATTAATTTCTTTTTGTAAATCAAGGTTGAAATTAAAGGCTCGATTTTCTTAGCAATGACATTAATTTTTATGCAAGGAATTTGTGGTATGAGTTACGGTAAGAAAAGAATATTTATAAGAATAAAATAAATGATTTATTTTTTATAAAGGTCTTTTAATATCTTCAGTGTGTGAACAAGAAATTGAAGTTATGGAAGTTGCACTTGGAAGTGTTTTCCCAATATTACTTAGTTCAGGTTAATTCTTTTTAACATAATTCTTTTTTCTGTACCAAGAAACGATTCGAAATTAAAGGTGTAATATGGCCACTTGAAGGAATGCCATCAGTTATGCGTTTTCTAAGTAATTTTACTCCATTAACACATTCTGTTGAGGCAATGCGATGTATTGCTGCGAGAAGTATTGTATTTTTTAATTTGTATAAACAAATAAATTTACGTCATGTTTAGGTTGGTCATTTGGATATTTCAAAGTATGGTTTGGTTTTGCCAATGCTGGTGCATGGTCTTTAGGATTTTTTGTCATAGCTGCTATTCTATTTGCTCTTAGAAAATAAAGGCACGTTCAATCTTTCTTTTATGTTATTGAAAAATCAAATTTAAATCTTTATAATAAGTTTTTTAACAATGATTTTCACTAATCTCATAATCTATTTCGTCATTTGAAGGAAAACATCAGTCAGGGTGATCAATAAAAACAATGAAAATACAATAGTACAATGATATAACTGTTACCGGTAAAAGGTCAGTGCAGTAGAGAATTTTTTATGGACTAGTAGACACAACTTTTTCTGTACCAGTCGTTATGAATATATCAAAACATTGAGCATAAAAGTCTTATTTTTCGCAAATGAAACACTTTTTAATGATATCACAAACTATCTCTGTAACGGAAGATGCACCAGTCTATTTGTATTTAGTCGCAGTTCATCATAACATAACAAGTGAAGTTCATCATGAAACGTTTCATTTGATCCTAGACTATGCCGTTTCTAACACTATTTTCAATTTTAAATGATAGACAAGTAAAATACATGATTAGTTTCTTCTGTCATATATTGATACATGTAGAATTACTGAAATTCTATCAACAATATGCAATCACAAATTGTAGTATATTCACTTACGAGATTTCATGTTCGAAACTTCAATAGTTTAAATAAAACAAAACTTGAAATGGAAAATGTTCCTTTTTTTCATCATTCATATGATTTTACGTCTTCTTCATGTTTGAAATAAATTAACATTGCATACATACTTAATGATAAAGATAAAATCGAAATGAATACTACTATCGCTACTCCTATTGCAAAAAAATTATTATTGCATCATCCAAGAAATGAAATTTTATTTTATCGTAATCTTATGTTCGGACTTACTATCTAATTCTTGATGTTTATCACGTGACATCCTTATGTATCACAATTGAACAATGGTGTTCCATAGTTTAATAACAATTATTATCTCTTCTAAAAGCATCACAGATCGAATAAGCACCCTCGTAGATGACAGTAAGCCGTCGTATGTTCCTGTATAACATGATTCAATATTGCGACCGTATTTCTCTGTATTCTATGCAGAGAAGTATGGTCGTATACAGTGAAATACCGAGTATATACAGATTTTCGTATTCCTTATCTTTGGATACTACTTCTCAGTCAACATGAATCCTAATTCTCAAATATTCATTTTCATCCTACATAGTCATTTATGACAGACCTTCTAGCTAAAGTCATTTGTGTCATGTGTATGGTTATCCGAACCATATTTAGACCGCTCGTACCATTTGTATAGTTGTTCGTACTATGGTTACCTATGCTAATCATATTGCAGACATATGGATACAGGCAAATTTCTGTTTCTAGACCCTATCCTTTCAATCTAAAGAATACATTATTATAATTGATTGTTATTAATTGAATACTGAAAAAGTTCAGTGAAATTTAAAAATATTGTTATTATTAATCAATTGTTGAGATTTTTAGGGAAAAATCTTTGTCTATGAACAGTTATTAAAGAAATGCATTTTTTATAAAATAGGCACAATTGATCGATCTTTAGAAGATAAAAATTATAGTAGGACACGGTGTGAAGATAGCGTGTGGGTGTCGGTGGATGTGGATATAAGGTGCGATTGTGTTCTTCAACTACGCTCACATCCACACCATTGGTGTATTTTTTAATGCTGGTGCCGGAGATCGTGCTTATCTCGCACATACATGGAGTTTCGATAACTTAAACGTCGAAGCACCGATCGTTTCCCACTATTTTCTACAGAGCTGAACCTTATTATTGTTCTTGTTGAGACTACAAATGTGCAAGGCCCGTTCTAGTGTTTTCATATCATTACACCATCCACAACAAAATAATAATAAAACAAAAAATAATAAGCAAGAGGATACAACCATTGGAAAAAGGGCCACCTCCTTTCATTTAAAGCTCCATGTGCAATTTTTTTAAAAGTGCTTCATTGAATTCACGTTTTCATTCATGAGAATCATATGCTAGTATACTTAACTCTTCAAAGTTGAAACTGATTCATTTTGGATATGAATGCGGGTGGAGATGAAAACAAAAATTACATCGAAACAGACGACCACAACTACACTTCCATGTCTACAGTCATATCAGACTCACTCCACACTAACACGCTATACTTCACACCCACACCTTAACTTTTACTTTGCACTTATATGAAAATGTATACAATCATTTTCTCGCTTACTTTCTGTTCAAAGAGCCTTTACTTCATTGATAAGCCAATAACTGACTGATATCGAAGTGTTCTTCCATCATTGTTAAAATCAGGCACGATTGAACGCAATTCTAGTCAAAAAGTCGTCGATTTGATCTTCAACAATCTGCGTTTTGACGTTCAGAAAAATAAGTAAGTATTGGTAAGTTGAATCAAAGAGTTTTTTCACCTTTCAACGCTATATTTAGCAGTGATCAAACAAGAAAAGTATTATCAAGGTTTTGTTTGCATAAAAAAATACTTTTTCCAGATGCTAGGAAATATTGTAAAACAGTTGTCAATTATCTCAAAAAGTCTTCCCTGAAATAATGTCTTATTACTTGATTTTTAAGTATTACTTTACACATGAAGAGTTCATCTATTAAACAATTAAGAAATTGATAACTTACAGAGTGATCGGATGTTATAAAGCGTTAAAGTAATAGATTGATCCTGATTTGTTCACTAAAGAATATAGTTTCATGCAGTGATAACAATTACATTACATATTATTCGATAGATTATTACTGGAACAAAATTTTTTCAATTTTAACAAACAAGGGATTACCAAGATATTCAACATTGGCAAACTTGTAAAAATCATGTTGATCATTAAATATAGTAATACAGATGCTGAAAGAGACTTCAGTATCAACTAGATCATTATTATAGAAAATTGAACACCCGTATCATAGTCATCTATAAGTGGTTTACAATCAACACATTAAGCTGTAAAATTTTTTGGATCTAAATCAATGCATAAAGTAAAATTAACATATCATATTTCAATATTTTAATCTATTTAATTTTGGCAGGTTACCGCCACTTAACATATGATGAATGTTTCGAAAAAAATCATCTAGCAACTATTGTGAAAAATTTATAGCAGCTCAATTGCCGCTACTTATTTATAGTAAGCAAAGTAAAGATGAGAAAATTGTTGAAAATGAAAAGCCACAACAAATTCAACGAGAAAAAAGTTATTGAATAAGCAGGAAGAATCTGTTCAATTCAAAAAAAAAAGAGGCTGAATTATTAATTAAAGAAAGAGTCAATTACTTAGATGATCCGTTAAAAAAGTGATGTGTTATCAAAATCACATGTGGTGAAAACTTTTGATTTTTGATGGCCGTAAAACATTAACATCTGTTAATGTACAAAAATAGAAAGTGACAAAAAAACTCGATATGCTTCGATTAAAACGGAAGATGCTCTGCTTCATGATCAGCCAACGAACTAGAAGCTGAAGACAACATAATGTGATCATCATAATGCATTGCGTATAGTAGATGATACAGTTTTGTGACTTTATTATAAGATTTTTATGTATCGATGAGTAACTGAACATTTTTTATCCGCTATATATAATTATGAAACATATCACTAACCCCTACCCGCAATAGACTACTTCCATATCTTAGAAGACCCCTGACACGAATGATGCATTGAAAGTAATGGAAAACCCTCTAAAATAATTAATTTCTCGAAAAATTGAAACTCGACTCAATATATTTACATCAAGCTATGGCTAGTTCTCAGAATTTTGAGCTGAAAATTTTAAAACATTAAGATCGGCATTATTTTTGGACTTTTAAAACCTTGAAAATATGTTCTCAAATCCTCAAAATCGTTTTAGTTTTCTAGAAAATCTATTTAATTAAAAATTAAGAAAATAAATGGAACACATTAGAACATCCTCCTGAGAATTTTGTACGCTTGGATATAATACGAGATCCGAAGCCATCTATTCCTAGGGGATTTGGTTTGGGTTCTTTTTTATTTTGTTTATTTTTTCGAGTATATGATCTATTTTCTACCTTTCTTTACTGATATGTGAATAAACATGTTATAATTGAACTTGATGACAATGTTCCAATTAATCTGTTATTTGGACAAAACGAAGGAAGATCAACATGCTAAATATGATGGGAAAAAGTCTCAAATGACGAAGTCATTAAGACTAAACTTTTTATTGAAACTGATGTGCCAAAAAGAGAAAAATTGGTTGAATTTTGGTAAAATAAGGACTCTAATGGGATTGGTTCATAACATTCTTTGGGACATGAGCAGCAACGTTTCTTTCTTCGTTTCATATCGTCAGACTCAAGATGACTCATATTGTGTCAGTAGACTATGCTTTAGTTATGCACTTGATTTATGATTTCGAAAAAATAAGACCTTTGTGATAATCTATATATCGAAAAGTTGAAACTTTAGTTTACGATTGAAAGAGACATTTCCTATTAAGTGCAAATTTCTGCAGATCTGTGTTTGAGTTTAAGACTAACAATATTTTGCTGGTAGTGTTTCCAGCATTGCTAATGGAAGTAAAACATAAAATATCTTTTTTACACTTTTTTATATTAGTAAGATATATGTGTACACCTTCTTTTCGTAAGCAGACTCGATCAATATGTACCCTGACGAAGTTTTACAAAGAATGAGTTTAAAAAAAATAAGAAAAACAAATAATCTTATTTTATTGGGCGAAGACACCCACGAATGGTCAAAAATATGATTAGAAAACAATAAGTTGCTCTTCTTTTTTTTTTACTGACATAATCAAACAGATATCGAAGGAAAAAAAGAAATAAGTTACGTTTAAAAAACTAAAATAAGTTAAGTTCAATATTTTTTCGTTAAAAAAATGCATATAATTATCATGGAAAAGCGCTATTTTATTCAGGAACATGTACGCAGTACATTTTGCTTCTGTTTGATACATCTATCATTAAAAACACTGCTACTCTCTAAGGTTTTCACCGATGCGAGTCTTACCAAAGTAACACAAATATATCGATGCTGCTAGGGACTATATGATAA